AAGGGTCCTGTTTCATGAGGGTTAAACGTCGCAACGGGCCAACCTTGCAAGGTTCACACGTCGCGAGAGTTATACCTTGCGAGGATCATGCCTCCCGTTAGACCCTTAAAAATTTTCCTTCCTGCTCATTTTGTTCGGCCATTATAATCGTTGAAACCTTGCGATTGTTCTTCCTGCCTCCCCGGTTGTCGCTTGTTGTCGTTTTATCTTTGAGATTGCCCTACCTACATCTATTGTTTGACTATTCCGATGTTTGACCCTTGCGATGTTTGATCCTCGCGCGGTATAATCATTGCGATGTTTGACCCTTGCGAGGCATGACCCTTACAAGACTTGCTCCCGACACGAGAGCTCAACCCCTCTGTCAATGGGGTTGTTCTTGCGCCAGAACAACTGTGTTGTCTTCAATTAAATACACATGCGGTCAAAAAGGTCTAAAACCTCCTTGATAAATTACTTGCTTTTTTACATGTAGAAAATTTGGTAAAATACCGGTGGTATTTTACTTGCCCAACCCTGATCAAGTCCATGGCTGCTAATCACCACCTATCGGCCGCAAAACAGGACGATAGGTGACAGTCAACGGGACTCAGGGACGATAACAGCTATTTTTTTCTCAAAACATTATTTACTATACTAGTTTCGAGGAAAGAACGTGTAGAAAATCGCATATATTTTGGATTTATCAATAAAACTATTGTTTAATTCCATATTCTGAATATTCGGAACGAACAGGCCAGCTCCTGGTCCAAAGTGAATTGGCAAAAATATATTCAGTGCTTGAATATACATCAAATTTAGAATTACTTGTCAACACTTTTGTCTTAATAAATTATAACAAAAAGGATAAATGTTTGTCAACAAGATACTTTTTCAGTTCATTTTCTCTCAAATTATTAAACACAGAATATCCCACAACTCATCCTACGAATCGTGAGCGTATCTCGGGAGGGTTGTTGGGAGACGAAAAGTCTAATAGAAGTTTTGTCTCCTGCACTTTGTTAAGGAAGTATTCGCCAACAAAGTAAAACACCACCGCAAATTACCTTCTTTTTAAAAATTCATATCTTCCTTCTCACTTGGGATGGAGGAATGAAAATGATGGCAATCGATTGGGTATTTAATGAACAATGATTTGGAAAAAAATGTTCTTCTATCATTGTAATAGGGTGAGGAACTCGCAAGGAATTTCACCGCGATATAAGACCTTTGGTTTCTACACGCAATGTGGACCTAAAACTCAGAATCAACATGAAAAATTCATATCTCCACTTTCATTTAATATCGATGAATGAAATTGATTGGAATCAATTGGGCGATTGATTGGATCAATAATGCCATCGTTTCTTCACCTTAAATGGAAGAAAAAATATCATTTCTCTATTGGGAAATTGCGTTTGATCAGCTGCCTTTTTTTCTTTGACTGCCCTTTTTTTAACCTTACGCTGTGTTTTGGGACACCTTGTATATATTTCCAGTGACGGTGGCACGACTTTTCAACTAGGCGACAATTCAACTATACGACTTGAAATGTCGTAGTTTAAACATCATAATGTTTAAACTACCACATTTCAACTGTTATTTTAAATCAGTACATTTTTAAGAATTAGCCAAAATTTTTCAATTTTCATTTCAATTTTTTATTTTTTGCTTTTTAACGGACACTGAAATCGAACTTAACTTAACCACTAAACTAGCACAACATTAATTAATAACATGCGAAGATTTAATTTTTTTCCTACTACCAATTGTAAGCGATCCATAATTTAATATTAATAATTTATGTAGCAATTTATTTCTGAAAATTTGATTTCAATTTTCAAAATCAATTTGCAATTAGCTCAGCTTAATCAAATTGAGTTTTAGTTAACTTAACCATTTTCATCGCACTTCGATTATTCTTTGGGCCCACACTAAATAAATAATACAGAATATATCAATCAGACGCATAATAATTAAATAATACAGAACTAGGGACAATTGTTGCTTTAATCAATAACTTAATAAACACATAAAGAAATAATAAAAATCACTCAATGATTAATTATCAAAATTTAGCAAAACAATTTACTTTTCATATAATTTCATAAGATCTCATGAGATTTCATAAATTTCATAACATTTCAATCTCATCTGTAAGCCAGATTTTATGAATGATTACCCCCTTAGTATCTACATTCTCATTTAATATCGGGAGATGAAATTGTTTGGAATCGATTGACCATTTAATGCCATCAGTTCTTCCCCCCAAATGGGAGAAGGGATATGATTTCTCTATCGGGAAATCGCGCTTGATCAGCTGCCCTTTTTTTTTCACGGCCCTTTTTTTACCCTTGTGATGAGTTTTGTCACACTCTGTATATATTTCCAGTATCAGCATAATAATACGCTATTCGACAAGAACAATCGTACTAAGCATAGTCATAGCAATTCTTGAATCCAGAAATTCTAATTCTCTCTTGAATTCTCTTATATATAACTCAAAGAATCTCGGACTTGGTAATTATCAATGAATAAATTTCTTGACGCAACTGAGATATACTTGTTTAAAGTTTCTTTTCTAAAGTTTCTTTTCTCTACCCAAAGAAAGAAAAGTTTTGATTTTCCGGAACAGGTAACTGAGTTTCAGGGATTCATCTGTAATTTTTAGTAATTCATCATCAAATTTCAGTGATAGAAATCCACTTCCAATGAGTGACTAATATCGCCAATAATTGGTGATAACTTCCTAAAAATTGTAATATGTTCTTGAGGATAAAATTTTTATTTTTCTCTGTGCAGTGTGGCCTCTTTGACTCTTCGTTTTTACGATATTTCCATCGTGTTCAATAATAATTGCCAACGAAAGTTTAGCTTAACTCGTTTCACGTGTCGCTAACGATTGGCTTCACCCAGGATATATTGTCAATTCTAAAGCATTATCAGGGATACGAGTTACATCCTCGTGATCCAGTATCTTGTCTTAATTATCTGCCAGTCCCTAGGGTGCCTCTGCGGTAGACTCGGCGTCTAACACTGTACTGGCATTCGTCGAACTATCGGATACGAGCTCGTTACGACGACAAAGCTTCCACTGTATCTATCGGTATATCCCCTTTTCATCAGAGTCCCACACTACCTTGGGTATTCCACCTTGCGGTTAAATCAAAAGGGAATTATCCATCAAATAAACCCAACCAAGGGTGTTAAAAATCAAATTCCATGGGGATTAAACGGAATTACTGTACATCATACAGGTGATTACAGTTATTAAATCCCCTTTACAAATGTAAATTATTCTTCATTACCCTCGTTGTTGTCTCTAAAATTTATCACCAAAGGGTTAAACGATGCAGAAGTGAAAAGAGGGAAAAAAATCTCGAAGGGGGTCACATCACAGGGGATTAGCTAGAATACCACTGGCCTTATCTCGTTCCAAGTGAGCTTACTATAGAATCCACGACCCTTCACCTCTTCCTCTCCCATTTCCCCACCTCTCCTTCACTTCTCTTTTCTCGTTTTTTCTCTTTCACGATCGTCCCTACGGAGGCTCGTAAAAAAAAGCTTTCAATCGTATCAAGACCTCTGATGGATTCAGTGCATTGAAACAAATTTGGATTTTATCCCTTCTTCACTCTACCTTGATCCAATGTAATTATAATAAAATCCATTGAATGAATATACAAAATGTCTTCAACTCTAAAACATTGAGGAATCCGATTTTCCAAGCTCCTTAAAAGTTTGTTATATCTACAAAGAGGTATTTTGTGAATCAGAGATTGTGAATTATTAAGGGAAGACCGCGGTGAAAGTTGAATTTGTAATTCATTAAGTGGCTATCTAAGTTGGGCGGCAGTTACCATCAGAGTAGAAAACTTCCATCGAATTTTTTTGTAGGGTGAAATGAACATTTTGAAAGATCCAAATTCAGACGTCCTGTGTAATATCGTTATGAAGCGCGTAAGAATTTGATTTTTCAAAAATGATCGGTTCACCCTAAATAAAAATGGCATTATAATTTTCTACTCTGATGGTCACTGCCGTCAAAGTTACACTTAAGATAGTATGTACTTGGATTTCGTCCATATTATACCAAATCAGGGCACATCAGTGAGGACAGAAAAATATAAATACATATAAAAAATTAATATTTCTAAAATCCGCCTTTAGTTTTTCTGTGCATATTTCAACTGTGTGTAATCCAAATTTCAGTTCAATCAAGCAAAAACTGAGGCACTAGGACATTTTTATAGATTTGACCGATTTTGACCCGTTCTGACGCTTTAGAACATTCCGAAAATCTTCAAGTTCGATTTTCTCTCACTGTTTTTTCAAATACAACATATATGATAAACTTTACGATAATAACCCCGAGATTTTCAAATTTCACCGCGGTCTAACCTTAAAACAAAATCACAGATGTCTTAAACTTTCTATCTACCCAATTATTATACTTCCATTATCCCTCAGCAATAATTATTAACTGAAACCATTAAATGATTCAGCAAAAATTATAGGGAGAATGCAAAGACGAAAAATAATGAATAGAAATATGATACAGGCAAGGGACTAAATCTCATTGGCTTTTATTGCGGCAATAACAAAACGCAAAAGAGATGTCAAGTAATGCTATCTGCAACGTAACATTAGCACTTGGTGGCTCCTATCATTCCTTTTATCTACAATATCCTCCGTTTCCGGATATTTTCGTTATGTTAGCCACAGGGAGAAGGAGCGTGGGAGGATCAAGGAGGAGTGAAGGAAAAAATATGGTACCTTCTACTCATAGTCAGTCGGGCAGTGTATAACGATGACACTAGGAGCATCTTTAATGCCAGTAATGCACTCCTCTTCTCCCTTCACTCCTTCCTCCATCAGGTACAATTCTCTTGGGTAAAAAAGTCTCAAGTTATCCAGAGCTTCTCCATCTTTGGACTGAGCCCAGCAGAGAGGAGTTGAAGATTCAAGTATTACGATCTACGTTGAAGAATAGGAGGGAGATGAAAAAGTAAATGAGAGGCTGATGGAAAAGGCTTCTTTTAATGTATTTTTTACTTCGTCTCCTCTAAGAATTTCCTCCTCATGAATTATAATACTTATGATAGTTCCACTTAGAGTAAAGAGGCGTACAGTATATATATATATATATATATCTCGTTTTCATTAAATGGACTAATGCGTTGTTCATTGTAATAATGTAATAAAAATTGTAATTGAAAATTTGTAGAATATCGGCTTTCTTGGTCACATGTCCGTCGAGAAGTCCCTGAATCGCCTAGCAAAACATTACATACATTATATTGATCCCGTTTACCTATTAAAACTCTTAATCCCCGGTGTAAGATTCACCGCATTGAGGCATTCAATCTTATAATTGTCGCTATGACGATTAAGGCAAGTACTACCGCAAATAGTATACCAGTCGATCGATTTCCTGAAAAAGGATGGATTGTTATTATTATGTGGGAATTATTTGATTAATTGGTCATTTTTTACTTTGCCGCCCTTTATTATCTTAAGAAATGAAGTGATATCGTATGGATATACATCTGTAATACCTTTTTAATATCTGGATATTGACTTGAAATGCCCAAGAAGTTTTTGCTATACTGGAAATTTGTGACATTCCGTAAATTAAGTGAAGAGTCTGAACTTGATAACTTGAGTTACTTTCTAACCTCAAGAACCGATAGGCCTATCAACGTAGGAAATTTGCACTATTGGAGCCGATGAAGAGAGATAAAATAGAATATTTCGTAACGAGCTAAAAAACATTTTTTCACGAGTTACGAACAATATTTTTCATCACAATGTGGCGGAAATTGGACTTTTAGGCACGCGGGGCGTGCCGAAAAGTTCACTTTTCGTCACAGCGTGATGAAAAGGTGATTTTTTAAATCCTCTCCTTTTTAGAAGGCATGAATTCGATAGAAATACATTGAACATAAAGTTTCAGCTTTTAGTGATGCAGTGATTTGATCATTAATTTCCAGTCTCAATAATTAGAAATGTGAGTAACAAGTATGATCACTCAAATGACAGTCAATAACCACCGTCATGACCGGTAATCGCCGCGCCGAGAATCTAACTCGACGGTCAGAAAAAGAAATGCTAATTGGCCATAAGTCTGAAATGACCGAATAAATTTTAACCGTCAATTTTCATCTATATCCTCAATTTTCGCGTACTAGTTCATCGATTCCTACACTTAAAAAAAAATTTAACTGAAATGTTTAGTATATTTTTCTGAAATTTTTATTACATTCAAGTTCCACTGAAATTTCAAAGAATTTCAGAATTGAAAATTCTGAAGTTCGGGAAAAAAATCAAGCAGAACGGAAAATTTTAGTTCAATTATTCCGTGAATGTTAATAGCAAACCGTAAAATTCCCATAACATACTTTTGAATTTTCAATTATTTAAAAATTCTGGGTAATTTGGCACTGAATATTCATGTTTTCATTTAAAATTAAAATAAATTGAAGAAATCTCGTTTTTATGCTTCTCAAAATTGTGGTATTTCATTGCATTTGTAGCGAAATCTAAAATTTCATGATGTTTTTTCTCCTTAAATTGCATTTAATGGCACTGTCCTAAAAATTACTAGTGAACTGCCCATGAAATTTCACTTTTTTTAAAATAACCGAAATAAAAATGACGGCCAATTTGAAACTAAATAATTGTGATAGTCAGAAACTGTTACATCTGACCTGACCAAAAGGGAAAATTACTGTCATTCCACATCTCTATCAATAACCATGATAATTAGACGGAAAAGTTCAGATTTTTCAATAATCCTTGACTAGGATTGAAAAGTATTATACTGATGTATATCATACGAAAAAGATAAAATAATAATAGTCATAATTAAAGTTGTCCCTTATACATAGGCCTTTGTGGCGATTGTGGTGTATGAAGAAAAATTTCCCAGAAAAATTGTTGTGCAGTACCGAAATAATTATTGAGGATACCATAATTCATCTGGCGCTACACAATAATCTTTCTGATGAGGACCACTATCTTTTCCGAGGCTGCAAATTGCGCCACGTTTACGCTCCTAGCATATAAAATTTCAAGGAAATTTTTCCTCTTGTGAACACACTACGCCACCATCTTGAAGCACTAATGATTTAATCACTTGAAAGAATCTAAAAGACTTTGGAAAAAAAACATAATATGACGACCAGTAGAATGGCTTGTGTGGATTTGTAAACGATATGATGATACATTTCCGTATGAAGTGAACCCCTCAATTTACTATTTTTTTTGCTCCAAAATAAATTATTGGATTTTCCATCTATTTAGAACACCTCTCACTGTGATTCAATGACATTTTGATTCTAAATCTTAGGGATTCTCTCCCTAAATGTCAATAATAACAACTCCCAATGCTAAAGGTAATTCTAAAAAGTGTAAAGTATCCGCAAAAGTTAATGATAGCTTTCTAAAATTTAAAAATTTATTGCTAAAAATTAAAACTTGTCCCCTGTGTATTTTCAAATAAGCCAGGCTTCTAGATTAAACTATTTCCGTATACCTTGAAATCTTTCTTCAAACTCAGTTAAAATTATCAATGGTTATCGTGCAGTCACAAACTTTCAGATTAAGCGTAGATTTTTCATGGCCCTAGTTCCCTAATCATCATGATCCGTCAAATGCCAGGAATCAGACGATTGAAATTCAACATGAAACTTTTCAATTTAAGTATCTAAAAGTTCCATAACGTCTCATGAAATTGATATGAAATCTATTTTTTTCAAATATCTGTTCTCGAAGTTTCAATACGTCGAGGTTTTCGATTCTCTCTACAGCATGCAACGGAGGTTTTTCTCTTCAATCTCTTCCGCACTCAGCTTTACTCAATCATACCCAAGACTTACGTCAAATCATGCAAAAGTTGGTAAAAACTGGGATGGCTTAAGTAAATAATCACCAATCAATCGATAGATGTGAACGGATACTATACTGCAACAAGTATTACTGCTTGGAGCAGACGTCACGATGTGTTGAATGTGTGTTGGTGGGTGATGAATGACTGGAACTGCACCAGTCTGATATTGCTGATGCGTTTGGTTTCCGGACACTGGCTGTGAGAAATCGGTGAAATCTTGGGCAGGTACGTAGATCTGTGGCGTTGGATGAGGAACTTGAGTTGGATACGGCGGTTGCTGTGTTGGATAAGGAGTAGTATAATTGGGCCCCTCAGTTGGATACGGCAGCTGTTGTGTTGGGTGAGGACCAGGATGATTGGGCCCTTCCGTCGGATAAGGTGGGCCAGCGCGCATTGCTTCTGCATAAGTTGGAAGGTGTGCTGCTTGCCCGTTGGGATTCCAAGGGTCAGAATTACCTGAACAATTCATAGATGGACATCAATGATTACTTTAGTAATATCATGAGAAGTTGCACCTTACAATAATTAAGTTTTTACTTATCTTCATTGAAATTTGAAAAATAATATAATAATTGGTAATTCAAATTTCTCAATTATTGGTTGATAAAATATTTAAATTGATGCTTAATTTACTAATCAAAAAATTGGTGAGTAATATTAACAATTGACTTATTCAAAATTTAAGTGTAATTAAAAATTATGATTATGCCGATGTCTGAAATAATATCATTGACTTAAAACACTATGCCTCATAAGGGGTTGTATATATTACGTAAAAGGATTCGTTTACTATCTTGAATATCCCCACGTCAAAAGGTGTAAGATTTTTGTGACCCCGTTCCTCTCCCACGAGATCCTACGTAAGATAGGATGAACTTTTCGTGTGAAAAACTTAAATAAGAATGATACGATATAATCAAATGAAAAAGAGTCAAACGAGGAATGGTCAGAACTCCTTGGAGAACTTCTTTGTTGGAGTACGAAAGGTCGCTTATGGTCGGCAAGGGATGCAATATTAATCCGGTTCAATCTTCGAAAGAAAATGTAATATAGTATTGTTAAGATGTGTCTTATTTGACACATCTGTATGTTGTATGAGTTTTGAAAAATGATACGTCTTTTTAAACTATAAACATAATGTAACTTGGCAAAAGAGGTCGGTGACAGAACACCTGTCACGTAGTTTTGTTTATAAAGGATTTTTTGTAGGATCATTCCTCATTCAACTCTTTAACTTTTCTCCATGTTGTTATTGATAAGTTTGCCTTCTCTATTGACAATAGGAATATCTGACAACCCTGCCTCGATATTAACTCTTACGCTTTACCATGATTCTGATATTGCAGAATCAAGCTTTACTTTCATGAATTGGTCTTGGAATTGACCCTTCGAGTCCAGCCTGTGGTTGACCCTTATGCTTGACTCTATTCAATAGAGTCTATTGAAATAATTATGTTTCCTCATTACGTCAGATTCTCGTGAATCTCTCACCCGCCCGCCCCCCAATATAAGAAAAAGTAAAACTCCTAAATTCCCTCTCCCCCTGAAAGTCTTACGTACAATATGTGGACAGCTCCTAGTAGTATGCAGTGTATTGCGAGTAGAGATCCACGTTTTGATGGTTAAGGGAGGACGGTGGTGAGATTTGAAAGTCTTTGATAGAGCTACCGACTCATGGATATGTTAAAAACTGGGAAAAATGATGACCCCAATCGATTTTACTCCATACATTAACTAAAAACGACATTTCCTATGTTTTAACCTTTAAGGAAATCCAAATCTCTTTACAGTTATATCTCTTTTACAGTTTGGTACAGACCAAACTGTAAAAGATAATCAGAATATTGAGCGTCATTCAAATTACGTTTTGCACAGAATTATTATTTTTTTAAACATTCTTTGTTCATAAATAAGTCACTGAAATTGTTTAAACTTTCGGAAACCTTATTTCTTTCGGCATAAAATCGATTTCTGGTAAAATTATGAATATAAATAAATTAGTTACGATTCCGAACGAATGATTTTTCCCATGCACTTTCCCACTTGTTAACATATCCCATCCGGAACCGACGGCCTGGCCTCACATGCGAGAGGTTTCGGGTTCGATTCGCGGTCGGGTAGAATGGTAATGATCTAATCATTCAAAGTCTTGATTAAGCGACCGCTACAACAGATATTGATAGATTTAGGTGGCATAGGGCGCTTCGTGCGCCTAGTCGCTCTATTCTAGAGTTATATGGGTGAAGTCAGAAAGTTACGTACGCCTAACCGCCTTGCTCTAGAATGCCTCCTTTTAATCTTAACATATGCCATTATGTATGAAAATTAGTGCTGCCGCAAGAGCACAAGAAAAACAAGACAAGACAAGAGTGCTGCTGCAAGAGGCAGGACAAGACAAGAGGGACGTTCACAAGGGGCAAGAGAAAAAAAGAGATATGGAACAAGAGAAAATTAATTAATTAAAAAATTCATCAAGAACACTCAAGTCATCAATAATATAAGGCCTTTTTTAAAATAACACTTTATCTATCCCTGGATATTGGGAAGAATTATGTATTCCTCGACTATATTAATCTTTCTTTTCGAATAGCGCATGTTTTATTATGGGAGCTCACGGAGATGAGAACCATGAATTGATACACAGCAAGTAGTCAACATTTTTGTCACTCAATCGACTCCGGTGTTTTCTGATGATAAAACCAGCTTTAGAAAACAATCTTCTGAAGGAACATTGAATGCACAAATTGTCAACTAATCACGAACCATACGAGCCAAACGAGGAAAATTCAACTCATTGATCTCACGGAATTGAAAAATTAAATTGTCGAGGTGGACAAAAGCACGCAAAACAAGAATTTTTTTCTCTTGCTCATATCCAACAAGACAAGAGACGAATTTTCTCTTGCCAATTATGGAACAAGACAAGACAAGAGAAAAACCCTGAAATTACAATACAAGAAATACGTGATTCTTGTCTTGTCTTGTAATTTCAGGGTTTTTCAGGGACAAGACAAGAAATACGTAATTCTTGTCTTGTTTTGTCCTGCGATATCCCTAATGAGAAGTCGCACAATGGGTCCCTAACTCTACCGAAGATTTCTAATCTCACCGACGTCCCCCTTCAAATGGCAGAAAAGAAGACGAAATTTTATTTACGCTGGCGATAACGAGCATTAATGTTTGCGGGGATTTCCCATGTGTCACAGGATTACTATATTCTGGGGATGGGTGAAAGGGGGTGAAAAGCGAGGGATAGAGAGACTGTCGCGTGTGCTGAACGTAACTAGACTAGGTGTGCAACAGGTGCACAGGTGCCCCAGTATATGCGCTGCAAGCCAGCGACGTGTAAGGCTGAATTTTTGGTAATTTTGAAATTCATTATTATCTTTGGTGAAGGTAAACTAGGTTCAACGTTATTAGCGAGTTTCCAGCTCACTCATTTATTTATCATGCGGAATAATCGTGAATTAATGGATTTATTTCATCAGTGGGTTTTTCGAGGCCGGATAAATGGAGAATAAATGGAGTTTAATGAGAATCGAAATCCATTGAAATTTCATTAATGTTCTGAAAGTTACGAACGATTTTATCTGTTTGTATTAGTGGGTTTTCGTTATGAACGGAATGAGCTCAATTACTGTCGGAAGCAACAGTGAAATCATCGCCTAGCCGAAGAGTCTTATCAATATGTTCGTGAGGAAACTGACACTTCGTGTACTCTCGGCACATAAAATATTCATGACGTACATGTGGAGAATGCAGATAAGATTAGGATTCCGGGAAAACCCAACATCCTCATGCACCTTATTGTTAAACTACGTACTTGTATACATTTCAATTGTTATGTCAAAAATTTATTTCATCGAATGATAAAACTCAATTTACCTTCGGGCGCCTTCATATTTGAAAATACTGATTTATCTCCCACCAAAATGTGTTATATTTTTGGTAGCAGCCGGAGTGTAAGGCGTCGGTGACTGCGTGAATCGATGGCACCAATGTCACACACTTGATCCAACTGAACGTACAGCGGAAAAATCAACACTGTCGCCAACTCAATGTCACTGGACAGCCAACAAGATCCCCGGGGGAAAACACAGTATCTTTATTTTTCTCCTTTAGAGCCCCAAGAAATAGACGGAATAAACTTCGACAATATCCTCAATGAGCAAGAATATCAAAACAGAAAAATGGTTGGAGCAGAAGTGAAGAGAATACGACACGATTCAAGGTTAGGGGGCACTGCGCATGCCTTCATCGATAGAGTAGTCTCCTAGACACCGCTGTGTTTGCGAATCGCTCTTTCAACTCGGTCGATAAGCTAGTAAATCTTCAAACTTTTGCCTCGTCAACAAAACTCCCCCCACCACTTTGGTACTAAGTTCTATTATATTTTTGGCCTCACGTGAACCACTGTAGCGGGGAAAATGAAATGAAAGGATCCGAGGAGAGCAATGAAATTCTGAAGAGAAGGGGGAGAACATACCCTGCAGTTGCGGCGCGTAATTACGTACGCCGAATTTAATGCCTGATAATTACTCCTGGCGGTCGTCATTAATTTCATCCCAAAATAAAGGGTCAACTTGGTGTGAAATTGTTGATTAAGATTCGTGGGATTTCACGGGGAAATTTCAACTTCCGACTCTCTGTGATTTCTCCCTTTGCATGAAAATATCGTGATTTCAATGAGTACTGTTGCAACTTCTCGTTGAATTTCTGGAGTGACTCACGGAACAATTGTAAACAGTGCGCAAATGTGAACGAAGAATTCGCATCAGGAATAACAATAGTTATCACAAATCGTAAACACTTTAATATTTATTTTCATCCCAGTAAAATAAAACCTTTGGTCCCGCAGAGACTCTCAACAGGAGAAAACAAGTGGGGAATTGCTCTTGTATTACATATAGTTATGTTTGCTAATAAATTGCAAAACGTAACAAATTAGGAATTAAATTCTATATTCCTTTGCAAATTAGGAATATGCTTCCGAATGGTTATTTTGAACATCATTTCCTTCTACGATAAGACTTCTTTTCAACTAATTTTGTCAGATTTTCAACTTAATTGAATGTTACTACCATCATTATTCTTATTACATTGTTGAAAAGTTTTGTGTAAAATTTCCGGTATAGTTTTTTGACATTTTTATCGAATTTAATTACCACTCAAATTTCAAGGAATTTCGGCATTGAAAATTCAGAATTTCGTGAAAAAATCAAAGAGAACTGTAAATTTCAGTTTTATATTTCCCTGAAAATAAAAAGAAAACCGGAAATTTCCGCTAACTAAAGCAGGGCGTGCGTTTCGCGCGCATATTGTTTTCCATAAGTGTCGGAATAGTAAAACCTTACATTTCTCACTTTCGTTAATTTTCATCTCAATAATAATGCAGAAAAAAATGAATGGTTTCACCGAAGTTTTCCACAATGAGAATGGAATTGTTGAATTTTCTTCTTCTTCTTCTTCTTCTTCTTCGTTTCTCCTTTGCTTTCTGGGTTCTTTGTTATTTTTAGGGATGTATTATGTACTACTATATATATATATATATATATACTATTCTATATATTTTTTTTACCGAACTATGTTATTAATTGTTTTAAACAGAACTATATCACCTGTTTACAGTAAAAAATATATATGCATATAGTACATAAGGCATGTATTATATACCATACATAGTCTATATTATATAATATATACATGTATACCATGTTATATATCTATTTTTTTATTACAGTGAGAAATGAATTTCTCTTTTTTTACAATTACTGTAAACAAAAGATAACACACAGACATAAAAAAACATACATAGACCTCATATTACATTACTTGATAAGCGGTATAGAGGCTTCAAAAATCGTTACACTGGATTTTTAAAAAATGGGATATATTCTGGAATTTTACTGAATTTTAAGTGAAACCTGATATTTCATGATTTTTTTCCCCTAAATCGCATTTAGTGTCACTGTCCTGAAAATTAGTGGTCAACTGCCCATGAAATTTAATTTTTTTTCTAACAGTGTATCCCTTTCTTCTATGCAACCGATTGTCTTTTTTACGATTCCCTTTGCCCTTCGATAAAATGTTAATAGAAAAATTTTATTCATACATACTTCAATCAATTTGAAATATCACATTTGAAGAAACCGTAAAAAAACTCACTTTCAGATGAATTCATGAAAAATAAATTTGTCAACAATCCTCATGAAAATCAAATCAAGATAGCTATCGTAATCATCTTTCAACTTTGACTTAATGGCATCAAAACAAACATTTTAAGCTATGATTCAATTCATTTGAAGCATGATATTCAGAGATATCCCCAAAATTCCGTTTTTCAAAAAATACAAAATTTGTGCAACTTATCAAATAAACCAAAATAACGATTATTGCTATCGCCTTCATCTACGAACTCGGTCAAAAGGCATGATTTTTTAAGCCATCATTCAATCAATATTTCTCTTTAGTTACCGTGGAACAACCGATTTTCAAAAAATTCGAAAATGAAAAAAACCAAAAGATGAATCAAATTTTAATCAATGGCTGTTGATAGGCTCAACAATACCTACATTTGAAAAAAAGGCGATTCAATTGCATCAATTCATTAGCGAACAATTGAAGAACAACTTTGTTACATACTTACCCACACATACACGCACCCTGAGTCATATAACATAAAACATCAAAAACTTAAATTTCAACGATACCATTGCCTCCATTCGAAGGCAAAAAATAGCAATTATATTATGTATGTAATCATTGGGCCATTTAAATCCCAATGGTTACATTAGAAACTGTTCCGCTACATTATCGTTGAACTAGATACAATTATTTGGAATCTCCTCACGAACCCATGAAATCAATGACGCATAATACAACCGTTTTGCCTCGTTGAAAACCTGTGGAACGGACGTACCTCACCCAAATATACACTAAGTTGTATTGTGTTTATTTTTATACGACTATCATGAATTGAGTGGCCGTTGTCAGTCTGTGGAAAACCGTCGATCTCGATTCAACCGAGAACCAGTATTTGTCCTGTGATTTCTGTTTGAATAGCAGTGTCTTGAAACTGATATGTCAACTGAGGACACAACGGGTAGATAAATATTGTTTCAGCTATTTTCCAAGTGGATGGGGCGGACAAATGAATATATGCTAATTAGTGTATCCAATTTGTAGAATTGGATCAGAAGGAGAATGACGTGAGAAATGAAACTAGTTATCAAGTGGAGGAGGAATCACCTACAACTACGTCGGAGAGGAGTAGTGCAGTTTCATGGAATACCCCAGTGTCAACAACAAAGTCAGAGAGTAGTCCATCATCTGTGTCATGGGATACGCCAAGATCTAATGCCGGTGAAAATACACTTGTACATTCACCTTTGATGAGTACCATTATAAGTCCTCATGATGATCCTCCGCCGTATTCCTCTATTGAACGGCAGAGCTTGTGGTCACCTTTGACGCATATTCGGGATCTGTTTTGTGATGACTCTCATTTGTCGTCCAATCGGAGTCCGGAATTGGCAAGTAAGGTTTATTATAGTGAATTATTTATTAATGCTTAAGGCTACAATGTCCGATTGCACCGGGAGAGTAATTACAGGGAAAACTTTAATTTGCTATTAAATTACCATAATCTGTACCTTCGCTTGCCTATTTGGGATATTTGCATTGGCTATATAAAATGTATAGTTATTTACAAGAGGTACTAAGTGAGCTCAATGTCAGAATGGTGTCTTCTGTTGAGGCATTTGACGAAAAAATTGCAAAAGATTTTTGTGTCTCGAAAATTATTGCGAATTCAGAAAAACGCTTTTCAAAACGCGAAAAATCTTGTGGTGAAATTGAGAATTTCGGGAAGAAATCAGAATTGAGATCATTGTAAAAAGGGAATGTAAGAATGAGGTGTAAAAGACCGCCGGTTTCCTTCATATCACAGCACTCACAACACTTTCTCGGATTTTTCCCTGAAGAGTATAAGAAAAAGGTACAGGAAAAGTTGTTCGCGAGTCTGATTTGAGTAACAGTCTTTTGTGGAAAAGGCTGAGGTCCTGACACAAGTACCGAGCTAACCATCTGAAGTTATAGTTACAATGATTACGATAGCCAAAAATGAAAAAATCACTCACTTATTTTATTATTTACGGCGTGGACACGTTTATGAACAATAGAAATAAATTTTTCTGCTGGACAGGACGAGAGGCTATCCGCATTCGTAATGACAGTGTCACTCTCTGGCGTAATCAAATTGTATTCACAGAGAAATCAATTGTCATTGCGTAATCACTGAAATCACTGGAATGAAATGATTACATTTCTGGTAGTTCGTTCTTGGAATCAAGATCACATCATTTGAAATGAATGTAATCATTTGCAATCGTTTCAATCATGCGCATAAATTTTAGTTATCCAAAACCGAAACTCATACCAGCCGTTAATTATGCAATAATTGTGATGATAGTTTCCTCAATGCGGATTTTGACAAATCAGAATGCAGAATTAGGAGTCACTGGGCTACGGAATTATCAAACTGATTCCTTCTTTTGACAGATATTCCCCACAGTTTGGTGAAAATTGTCACGTAACCCCGAACAACAATCTCTGTTCGGCTAGAATCACAATTGAAGAAATGATCTTCCGAATAATGCTCGACCTTCAAAATTCATCGGATATTTACCTCTAACTTCCATGAAAAGAAACGAGTATGTCAAGTTCTCCGAAAAAATTTTAAACTGCTATACTTGACATCTTCATTTGTTTGCAACAAAGCTTTCGACAAAAAGCCGATAATTTTGAGGTCTCGGGGTATTGCAATTAAAAATGCTGAAAAATGGATGGAAAATGAAGTATGTTACCTTCATAAATCTAATCTCTTTGGTTTTTCACGGATTTTCACTTTTCTAGCAGCATATTAATTTCTAATGCTTTCTTTCAGCTTTTGAAAAATTCGAACCCTTCTAGAGGTGTTCGGCTCGCAGCCACTCATCCTTTTAGTGACCACGCTCATCACTGTTTAGCTTCCCAAATCTACGCCCCGTAGGGCTTTTTTTTTGTTTAACCGTGTTTTTATTCAAGAATAACAGTCAGTATTTACAATATTTATTTAAACCTTAAAAACTAGCATCAAAGAAAAGTTCTATGAACGTTTTTTAATGGAGTGTATAAACTTTTGGCCGGGAGAGGCTCTCGAGTTTATTTAATATCCAATTATTATTTTAATGGTTTCAATAACATAATATTTCTCTGTGAGATTGATGCGTTATTTATTGCAAACAGTATCATTATTTAGTGCTTAAAAAAAAGTTGTTGAATTTGCATGAATTAAAAAAAAACAACAATATTTGCAGGAATTTTTTAAAAAAGAAAAAAAAAGATTGTAATTGTATTTCAATTCCCTGTTGTAAATCATCGAATGAAATTATGAGTCACATTAGTATCATTATAATTAATGTATACTTATCCAACCAATATTTCATATAAAGAACAGTCTTTGTATTGTTGTAATACACGGAGAGAAATTTTTTAGAAAAATTCTAGTGCTAGCACGGGAAAAGAGGCTCAAAGTGACGGCCAGGACAAAATGCCAGTGTCGGCACTAGAAATTTTATTGGGGAAACCGTGAATTTTTCCCCGTATTTCTGTGAAAATTTCACAGAAATCCCCAGAAATTTGACCAGAAATACCAAGAAATTTTACTTTAACAGCACTAGAATTTTTCACAGCCGGTGGATTGTGATTTTTTCCAGTACTCGTACTAGAATTTTCCTAGGAAATTTCTCTCCGTGTACTTGTTTTTAGCCCTGTAGGGCCTAAAAACAAGTGGTCAAACGCAAGAGTCAAGCATATGTGTCAAACATGAGGTTCAAGTCGAAGTGTTGAACAAAGACTTGTTTGTTTCATAATTTAAATCATTACAAATATTTGGTTATCGATAGCTGTAATCAATAGAACACTTTTAATAAAGTAATCTCATTTTTTGGCAGTGATCATTGTAATTACTAATGACTGTGATCAGGGCCGTAATCAAGGGAAACGTATTATACCTTGTAATAATGGTGTCTCTCAATTCGAATGTGAATAGCCCCTCGGGATACGATTAAACCCTGAAATGAAAATATGTCAATAATAAAACTGAGAATTTATAGTCATTAAGATGATGATTGAAAATAGTAAGAAAAATAAATTTTGTTGTATTATTTCTCACAGGTTTGATAGAGAATTCTACTTATGCTACGAGCACCCCAGCCGCAAACATATCCAAAAGTTTTCGTGCCGAACATCCTGGAAATGTGAAGGAAGAAAATACATTTGCCCGCAGTGAGTAATAATTTCACAGAACTGTTTTCTGTTGTTAATTCTGCCAGGTCAGGAATTGTTTGATTTTTTTTTCAGAATATGGGACAATTTGCATAGTCGCCTTCTTTATCGCCTTCCTAATGGTTCTATCCTTGTTTGCAAAATTTTGCGTCAACAGTACCTTTAGACTTTGAATCATTCCCCTAAATTATAAAAAGTGATACAAATTTATCACAGAATTCCAATCCCACATTTTTTGCACAAAATGAAATATAAAAAAAGATATGTCTGTTACGTTTGTTCATTGATTGGCATGAGATTTACTTTACATGAGAGGTACGAGAGGAGTTGAATTGCGATGAGGTGAAGAAGATCTCGGAAGCAATCCAACCTGGTGGGATGAGATAACCGGAAATGAGCTCGACATCAAAGGCATCAGCTGAATAATTCATAATTTTTCTTCATTACTTGACTACCCTCAGTGTAAAAAAAAAGACAGATGTGAATGCATATGAAGGAAGGAAGATAATAAAATCAAGCGCACTGCTCTACTTGTTTCAACGTCTTAATTATTTGTTAATCGTTTTTTACCTTAATGGTAGAAAGTTTCACGTAGGTGCAAAAACGAAGATTGAAACCATGGCGAGGCTGGTTAAAAACGATGAGCAAGCTAATTGAAAGTTTTCAGATTTCTAGTCTGAAATATACAAGGTGGAGTTTGTTTGCAATTAGGGCTGCACACGAGACGAGACGAGATTTTGAGAAGTCTCAGCTCGGTCTCGGGAAAAGTTGAAAAATACAATATCGTCTCGGTATCGGTCTCACTACTGACCGACATGGTCTCGTCTCGTCTCGTTTTGTAAAATGTTGGTCTCGGCCTCGGTCTCGGTCTCGTTTCGCTATCAAACATGTATGTCTCGTCTCAGTCTTGTCTCAGTCTTGTCTCAGTCTCGTCTCAGTCTCGTCTCGGCGTTATCTTGTTCTGCTTTCACAGGAAGAGAAGATACGGTTTTTCCACGAGACAACTTGATTCCTTCAACGTTTGCCAATACAAGATAAGACAGGAGTTCCAACATTTATCTTGTCCTGGCATTTACAGTAAAAAAAAAAACATGGAACATATAACATGGAACATATAACTCTCATCCGACAATGACGGGACTTTCAGTTTGGAAGAGCGTTGCAAGTATCAATATGTGTGATTATTGTCATTATCGCCCCTGTGAGATCTATCGTATGTTGTCAACAAAATGTAGAGATGAAAAAATTCATGTACTTAAGAAATGAATATTATTATTATTATAATTATTAACATACTTTTGTTTTACATTTTTGGATAAGCTTTCTCAAATAGTCAATACTTAAAAACCTCTGTAACTAATGCCTTCACAAGTCATGCCTCTATTAACGCCTTCAAATCACATGGCGCCCACGAATGCAGGCATAATAAAGCTCTAGCCGATCGATCACTCATAGAGCTGCGAAGACGTGTGATCTTTAACTTTAAAATTTCAAAAAATTGAATTGTTTGACGACTATTTTGCTTTTATACTTTCATTGTCTATTAATTGAAAGTTCAAAATTACCCGTAAACGAGGAATAAATTTTTTCTTTTCAACTTTTTTTTTCTCGAAATCGTAAAATACACGGGGCGAAAGCTGCGACCAGTTAAGGGTTAGTTTTTAGTAACAATAGATTTTTAGTTTCCACATTAGGGATTTCTTGTTCAAGCTCATCATTTCCGAAGAATCAATGCGATTGATCATTCTTTTGAGTGATTAGGCTTATTAATCTCAACACCAGCGTATCGGGGGAAATCCTCGAAGTTGGGAAAGTCGGGGTGCCTTGTTGGTCGCTGGCTGCACCCGCTCCCATCGTGTACACGTTAAGAACAAGCGCAGATGGGAGTCAATCAAATGGGGGATTTTAAATGGAAATTCCACATTTGATCTTCTGGGTCATTAAGTAAACTTCTTTGTTTTGGGTCAGAAAGTTGAAAAAAAATACGTCTCCCTTCGAAAGTCTCGGCGAGACTCGTCGGTATCTTCTCGGTCTCGTCTCGAAGATTTTTCCAGCGGTCTCGTCTCGGTCTCGTCTCGAAATACCGAGACGAGACGAGACCGAGACCGAGACTAGTCTCGGTCCCGTGCATAGCCCTATTTGCAATGAACCTATCGGGAAATAACCTGTGTACCTATGCTCGTCCCTGTCCCTATGCTCGTTCAGATATCGCGAGCTACGGCATTTTAATCATTTTGAAAGTCTCAAGAATATATTAAGAGTGAAATACGATTGGAGTTATTAGTTTAGTCGATAAGGAAAATTATCGACACCAATGAACAATAATTTATTGAATAACAAGAGAGAAAAATCGCATTCACATCAACGGGTGCTACGACAAAGTAAATTCTTAAGCCGCAAGTTGAGAAACTCACAATTTTAAAAAGTTGATCTCTCCGTTATAGTAGTAAAATGGGATTGTAAATCCCTTGACTGAGGTTTCGGATACTTAAAAATTCAATAAAAATACTTAAATTCTTCTAATATCTGAATATTTCACTCAAGTATGGGCAATTAGAAGAATAGGTACAATGGAAATGGCTTGATCCTATGCTCTTTTTGCACCCAACTGTCAACTAGTAAGGCACTCAAGAGATGAAAAAATCATTTTAAAAGTTGGACTCTAATTGAAACATAATTTTGTGCCTCGGAATATTTTTTAATGTTGTTTTATCACAAAATAGGATACTCACGATTCGGATATAACCTTTCCGTATAAATAAAATCCCGAGACGAGCATAGGGACAAGTTTCCACATTTGCGAACGATGATTTATTAAAAAATAGTAATTATCATGATTGGTATAAGTGAATTCTAATTCTGAAGGTTTCCCTTCTGATACCTAATTTAAACCATCGCAACTTCACGCTCATTTCGATAGAAATATTGGACTAATGATGTGTTCATCTTAGCTAGATAAGCGTAGGGTCATTGACCTTATCAAGATGAAAAATTATTAGCCGAATTATCAAAAATGATCAGTTGAATACCGTGTTGACTACATAAAAAAACAATCGAATAGCGCAATTCTATTGATTGAAATTTGGATCGGAAAAATTCTCGCTAAAATTCTAGTGCTTCAAAATTATCAGATATTTTCCAATAGCTTCGTTGCCTAGGAACGATTGTCTCAAATTTTGAAGAAAAATCCCTCGTGCTTTGCACTCGGGATTTTAAACCTGTAAAATTTGACACACTCGTTTCTAGGCAGGGAAGCTTGAGGAAAATATCCGATTAATTTTGAAGCACGAGTGGTATTTGACGGATTATTTTTCCACTCGGATTTCGGCCAGGCAGAGTGCAGTGAACAGCATTCGGATACATTTACACAGCCATACATTTACAACCCACTTTTTTCTTTATCTGTCACAGAATGTTAAACGTGAAATGCATTGAAAGATGAGAAACATTTGAAAAGCTACTAGTGAATTTCCGTCGGAAATTTTTTAGAAATTTCCGAAATAAAACTGTTTGACAGCCTCAAATACTGCGCTCTGATTGGCTGAAATCCGAGTGAGAAAAATAATCATTGAAATTTTTGACAATTCCATTTGCTATATCACATAAGTTATACTAAAAATCCCTATGTCGAATCAAAATTGCAGGCGGCTGTATCTTCGATACAGCTGTAATTGTACGTGGATACATTCATGGTCTTTCCTTCTTTCTCGAATTTTCTAGAAACTCCTTAGATTCCCTCGAATTTTCTGGAAACTTTTTGAATTCTCTCGAATTTTCTAGAAACACCTTGAATTCTCTCGAATTTTCTAGAAACTTCTTGAATTTTTTCGAAACTTCAAGAAAATTCTCAAATTATCTTGAAATGTCTAGAATTTTGCGGAATTCCGATAGATGGCGCTGCATATAACGACCGCTTGCCAAAATGACCCCCATATTGAAACCATAGACGTATCCACGTCAAAAAATATTGTAATAAATAACGAGAATTGATTGATCGACATACCGATTACTTTTACTGCAGAAAAGCAATTACCAGAGAAAGTCTTCCATTTCATAATTATACTTTGATACAACTCCACATGACCAAATGTTTGAATCCCCAAATTTGGATTTGAATATCAATTACTAGGAACAACTGTGCAAAGATGGATATTCCTATCTCAGTGCTCATTGGGGAGAACACGTTGAATGGTAGTATTCCACCTCTCCCTCTTCTACCACCCCATTCTCGGAGTCGATCGCGTCTGGTCATATCCCGAAGGTATTTTAAACACCGTGTGCCAATGGTGCCTGTCCTGCGGAGTCGATTGTACCCTTGGAACAATCGTTCGATTGTCGTATTCCATGAATGGCGAAACTCAACGAGTTCAGTCCCCTCCTTCTTCCTCACCCCATTGAGAATTCCTATGTAAACCGAGGTTCAACCATAATGCTTCAAACTTACATGCACGATAAATGATTCCTTCTTCTCCATCAAAAGAATAGGAATTGCGTTCTCTTCACAAGGGAAAAAAATGCGAGGCAAAAAAAATTTATCCCCTTTACCCCGATTTTTCTACAATTTTTTATTTTTTTTAAAGGAAGCACAGAAGAAAATGGATGAAAGACCGGAAGGCCGGAGGGAGCAATATTTTCACGCGAATGCTTATTCAAAGGGACGCTCCAGCTATATATCAAGTCATATACAAATGTACGTATGTGTATGTGTGCATCGTGTATGGGAATGGGACGAAAAGCTCCTCTCAAACCGTCGACGATGCCAATGGCTGCCTCTCTCGCCCGATACATCATTCGGCCACACACTTGAAATCTCATATCGCTTTCTGATCCTCGGGGCTATATTCGACGGCTTTTCGTGCTATGTGTGCCACCGTCCTCTTTCACCTTTCATCCTTCTTCATCCCAGCACAAAACACTCTCCCCCCTTCCCTCAGCCTTCCGTTAAATTTCAGCATCTCCCCCTCCCTTAATGTTTTTTCCCCATGCACCTACTTCTTCATTCCCTTGATTCATTGTTATCCTTGTATTTAAGCATGAGCTTTTCATTCATTGTCAGCCAACTTCAACGTCAAACAATAAGACTCGAGATCCCATATCTTTTTTTTTTCAGGCTCTCAGTTGAAATAACAAAGGCCAAATGGGGAGAGAGAGACTTTCACTAGGTCACTGGGGTTTGAGGAATTATCCATTCCATTTGTTCTCCGAATCAACCCAAATAGCTTTAATAAACCCTGACACACGTGAAATGAGACCTGTAATTCAGCGAGTAAAATGATTCAGAGTCCCGTAAAACCTCCACGTTTGAAGCCAGGAAATGCCCACGAGTTGAGGAGGCTAAACGAGCAGGAAGCTCTTCGACGGGGTCATTTCCGGCCAGACTCGATGCGTCTTGGCAAGTCGTGGTCGACTGGAGGGTAGTGCGGGGCGAACCGAGGAGCGGGTATACAGCACACCCCCGACGTTATCGCGACAATTGGATGGGACTCGCGCGCTCTGCCGCCCGCTGGTCGACCTCGATAAGCTTCAGAAA